TTCAACATGTCTGAAAAAAGTGTCACGCAGTTATTGGTTCCAATGAACACCAGCTTAAAGCTCAGCTGGCCGCCACCTTGACCTGGCCCCAGCATGGGCCTATAGAGAATTCGGCTGGAATCCAGTTGTCAGCATGCTGTGTCCAGCTTTCCGCCGCATGTATCAGTCAGTTTGCATCCAGCTGGTGACCACGTGTACGACCGTTGGCGGTGTACATAAAAGACACAGACATCAGGAACACTTCAGTGTTCACACAGCGAAAACCGGCAGCGACTATCCGTTTCATCCGCGCTCATTACACGATCCTTCATCAGGCCGCGGCGGTACTGCTCAGCCTCTTCTCTGGTAAATCCCCAGTCTCCAAAATCGAGAATCCGCTGTACTAGCTCCGCAGGAAGATTCTGGCCGATGAGATTTTGACAGACAAAAGGGAGCAATATGCGCAGGGTTCTGAAGTTCGTCGTACGTACTTGGTAAGGTATGTCGGACGTGGTCAGGACCTTATTTCTGAGGTTTTTGTATGTGATTCCATGATAACGGGTGTAGTCCGAACCAGGGTCGTGGTGCTCGTCGTCCACAAGGAAAAAACACAGCTGCGGGGGTCCATTATTATATTGCCTAGCTTGCAATAATGGTGCTCACGATTTTCCTTTTTGCCACGTAGTCGCTGGGGGTACCTTCAGCGACAGAGAGACGTCCCACTTGATGCTGTTGTATGAAGTCAAAAGATCGTTTATATTCCAGACTCAGTATTGGACTAACTTGGATCCAATTGGGGAAAGAGAGTATGCGCCCCGTAGTCTCGCTCTTGGAAAAGTTGGTTGTCGGAACTGAACCTAGCGGTATGAATGGAGGAAGTGCAGATGTGGAAGTGTCCGGGTCCCAGTCGCTCGGATAGTCCTCTTCACCATCGCTGTCGTAGTTCTCGTCGTCGTCTGGTCCGTCAACGGAATTCGGCGTCCCGTGGCGGAAGTGGAAAGAAAACGCCTACACAAGGATCAGTCACAGCGGGAAACACCAAACGATCCGGCTACGTCATGCACAAAACCTTCGTTTTGTGGAAAATCTACATCCTCGTCCCTGCCCTTCCGAAGATTCAGGCCTTCGTCGACTACGGCTTTGTCGGTGTCATAATAATAGATGACGCTCGCCACAATTCTTTCATGGGGCTTCCGAAGTAGAACGGGGATCAGCACAATGGAAACCAACCCAATTGGGGGAGATGCGCACCATGCCCTGTTGATAATATTAGTAGCCGCCGGTCGTTGCAGTTTTATATGTTCACCTCCATGTGCCAAGAGCCGACGTATTCTTGCCCTGCCTTCAGATGATAGTTCGCGGCCTAACATTAATCAGACAGGATGGAGAGGGTTAAGCAGGTTCTTGCCTTGATTATGACTTTCAGATCTCGTCCGTGGAATGAGACTGCATCGTCTTCAGTGATTACCTCTGCGGGATCGGCTGGGAATTCTTCATGTTGCTTGGCCGCTTCCGACTCTTCCTTAGCTTTCTCTTCAGCTTGCTTTATGAGAAGGTCTTCCCATATTCCACGTTCAATCGGATCCCCTTCTTGACCTCCTCGTGCTTCGAGTCTTTCCCTCCATCTCCTAACTTCAGCCATGGTTAGCACTTATCTTTTGCAGCAAATAACTTGCTCACCGGACGATGGCTCAATGTACTCGTATTCAAAGTTCATTGTCCGTTCAAAATGAGGCAGAGCAAGGACAAAAATCTTCTCGATGAGGCGATACAGCCTAGGGAAGTGCTCCCTTGGCCCTAGCCCATTGATGTAGGACTGGATGTGAGCGTCCTTACCATCCTCTGACACTTCAAAAACGGACGGAATCCATGCGTATCGGGACGTGAGCGGAATTGGGTTAAATCTTCCGACCGCGACCTCTGTTGAGAACACATTCGAGTCCGGGAGCGCGGACACTTTTGAAGCATCGGGAACGACGCTTGCGCCAAGTACGAGAGGATCTAACATAGTTCAGAAAATAAGGTCCCATTAAATCCGCAGAACAGAAAACTTACAAAGCGAGGGGTGAATGAGATCCTGAACCTTTCCGTAGCTCCCAGGATGGAAGTCCTGAGGCCCCCTGGTTGCAAGGGCATCGAGCTGAAGCACAAGCTACGAAAGAGTTTATTATAACGAGCCGCTCATCATCTCAGGGAAGCACCGACCTCGCGATGCAAGTCTACGGGCACCAGACCATCAGAAACATAAACACCGACGTCCTCAATCAGGTTCGGAGCATGGATTCGACGCGAAACAGCCGCAGGCTGAAAGGAGGCACTATCTGCGTCTGTCGTATCTGTAAAAACTGCAGGAACTAAGTGAAAGTCTCGCGGTATGGTGAAGTCGACCAGTATTATGCGACGTGCTTCATCCTCGAGCTCTCTGTAAATATTCCCATCATGAAATAAGGAGTTTGCGCGGAACCCTCGTACTTACTGAATCGCCGCGGAGACGTCGTTCGTTTTGTATAGCAGTTTCGTCTCAAGGGCCTCAGCTGTCCATTTCTCGCCCAAATTACGCGTGCGATCCAGGATTTTGTGGTACCAGTTCTTCTTTCCGCGGATGGCATCGCAAAAGACAGCTAAGGACATAGTGGGGAAAGAGAACCTGCATGCCGGTATGATAGTTCGAGCGAAAGGATACTGTTGGCGGTATGCCGGGAAAGGCAATCAGCCCGATCCCCGAACTGCTTCCCCATGCTCTTTGAACTTCGCCGATTTATGTAGAATATTCTAGTAGTATACAGTTAATGTAGTATATAGGGTAGGCTGGCTCCTACCAACTCCTCAGGAGTTTGTAAACACAAACCACTGCACTGTGCAACTTGCCTATTCCGAGACAAGCCCGACGCGAGGTACGAGCGGCTTGGGCTTGTCAGAGGATAAGCTAAGTGATGCGGGAATCGGGATGAGGTGTGACGCGACCGTGACTCATGTCACATTCCTCTCGATCGCGTACCACCACCGCGATTCGCGCTCTTTCTCCCCGCCCTCCTCTTCCCTTCTTTGTTTCTGTCGTGAGGATGAGTTGGCGACGCGCCTTCGGCGCGCTCTGCCTTCCCTCCAGGGGCTCTCCTCTCGTCCAGAGCCGTCGGCCTCTCGCTCGCGCCTTCCCCCTCGCGGCGGCGCGCAGCGCGACTTTCCCAGTCGCGTCTCGCAGTCCGCCGCAGGCGGCCGAGCGGAAGAGCCAAAGACTCTTCCCCCCCGCACTACGAAACAAGATATTCACCTTAGGTGATTTGTTTCGCGTGCTCGGAGCGGTCGCTAGGGGCTCCCTCTCTCCTCTCTCTCATCGGCTCGATGGAGCACCTTAGCTTATCCGCATTATCCCAACAGATACAGGATAAGAAGCAGGATAAATTGTTAGCGTAGCTAGGTCCCCTTTCGGAACGTGCCAGGTTGTAGGTAGAAATACATGCGGCCCAGCTATGTACTTTAGTACGCCGACACTCATTTACCTTCGACGAGCTGACCACGTTTAAGGCTGGAGATCTAAGTACCCGAGTGCCAGCCAAAAGTCACTTTAGTATTACATGTTCAACACAACATACACATGATCTTATATTATTGATCGCCGCAAGTGATCTACAGCCCATTTGCGAACTGTCTCGAGGTCGCTTCTAACCAGCTTCCAACTGAATTCAGACTCGCCAAATCTTCTTTCATAGTTTGCAAGACAAGAGAGAACCGAGAAAATCGTTATAAATTTCTATCGTTACAGAGCATAGGGATAATGATATCGATACAGTTGGGGAGCGTCTGACTCTGTCAGAGCAGCGAGAAATGAGTGCGTGAAAGACGTGTTGGGAGCAGGATGCCGAGGAGATTATGAGCGAAGAGTAGCCCATGCCGCAACCCCAATGACAGCGGCGACAAGAACCAAGGCAAGGAGGGCGTATAAGCACCTCTTTGCCCATTTGAGTTCTGCAGCACGCATGCGGTCGATGATGGCCTGGCGCTCCGACTCTGTCTTTTCAGGGAGCCAGGAGGTCGATGGCGTGGCGGCTGGCGGCGCGCGCAATGGCGACATGAGGATGATAACACCCATTATCCAAAAAGGAGGGAATACTGAGAGACGGTCAGGATCAAGTTCAACGGCGGTTAATGAGAGGACGTACAGAATCCAAATTTGAAGAGAAACATGGCGAGAGTGACAGGCTCCGTTGGGCGCTGTGTGTATTCTGGTGCGTCGACGTAAGGTGGAGGTGCTGCAGACTCTGCGATAGAGATGCGCTGGTCATGGCGACTTTCGCGGGTTCGTGAAGACGATAGGGTGTATCCGAAGAAGTCATCGACTGGATTTGTCGTGTTCTGGATGGGTGAAGACCGGGCAGGGAGGGTAACTGCTGCGGAAGGCGCGACAATGGAGGTGGTCATTATTTCGACTGGAGAATGGGGGCTTTCCAAGTGAAGAGTGAGGGCCTGAATTTGTGAGAGAAGCCATGACGGTCGACGCGGTTATAAAGCAGTTCCTTGGTCGTCCAATCCAGCAGCAATCACCAAAAAAAACGATCCTTGTGGAATTGCGGCGAATACAGGGACAAACAGTGAATCGAAAAGTGCCTGATTGGGATTTGCCTTAAATGGAAGGTGTTGGAAACGTCGGCGGATTATTTATGCAGCTCTGCAACTCCGAGAGGCCAGGAGGGCCGCGTTGCTAGAAGCTGACGCGGCGTGGCGGCGCAAGCTGTCCAGCCAACTGAAAGAAAATGCGTATCAACATTGCAACGAAATATGTATACCAACTCTGCAAACATCGAACTCTAACGAAACCTACATCTAGCAAGTCTTTACTGATTTGCAACTTCTGGGACTGGCCTAGGATTCCTCGTTATTTTCAATGCTGCTGGCAAGCGCGATAAGATAGTGGTGGCCATGGGTCGGCAGGATGGTTGTCATTGATACAAGCGCTAACAAACACAGACAGGGACATTCTTTGCTACTCTAGGCCCATCATGACCTTCCCCAGCAGGTTTCAACAAGGCCGAGTGGCAAAATGGTTACTGCGTTGCTTTCCGAAGGCAGAGACTGTGGGTTCGAGTCCCACCTTGGTCGCTTTTTTTAAAGTTTTTTTGGACTTCGATCAAACCTGGGGAATCGTAGGAGCATGTTGAAAATATAGCCTCAGATCTCCTGTTTGAAATTAGGCTTCGTTCGCGTATCGACATGTGTATTTTTCCCTTGATCCAAGTAGCGTTAACAGTATATATATTTTACAAGGTCGAATGAACGACTCTAATCGGCCCAAAACTTGCGTTCCAGTGTACACTGCCGCGCCATCTCCAGCTGGAGAGAATCAGATTGGCAACCACCGCCTGAAAGCTCAAACTCACCTGCTCATCGGTCCGACAAACCAACAAACGCTTCCCTTCGCCACCACCCGCGCCAATGTCGACCACCACGCCGTTCGCTCCATCCACATCGGCATTCCGCCCCGCCTCGATCGCGGCGTACCCCAAACATACCACCCGCGCACCAACTAGTGCGCGCAGCTCCTTACTACGCTCGCCAATACCGCCGGAGAACACCAGCGCGTCGACCGTGCCATTGAGCTTGAGGTGATATGAGCCCACATAGTTGAGCACGCGATCCACGAATAGATCAAACGCTAGCCGCGCGTCCGCGTCCTCCCGCGCGGTGATCTCCCCAAAGTCCGTCGTACCCGTCAGTGCCTTCCAGCCTGCTTCCGTGTTGAGAATGTGTTCCGCGTGCGTGACGTGCAATGACACTGCGTGGTTTTTGTCGTGTGAGATGCGCCCAGCTTTATTTGTATAGTGGAAGATGAGCGAGGGGTCGATGGCACCAGAGCGCGTCGCGCCGGGGAGGCCGTCAAGCGGGGTAAGGCCCATCGAGGTGTCGAGAGACCGGCCATGCTGGATGCAACACGCCGACGCGCCGGAGCCGAGGTGCAGGACAATGAGGTTGAGGGACTCGGCGGGCTAGGCAAGATTGGGTTACATTATACAACTAACCAGCGAAAAGGGGAAGACCTTTCGGAGGAAGCGTGAGACGGAGCGTAGAATGAATGAGTCTGGATGGGGTTCAGCTGGCATTGTTGAACGGATAGGAAACTCTTACAGCTCAATGAATGGAAGCCATACTTTTTCAACCCACGCTGCTTGGCAAGCTTCTGGTCAATCGCATAGCTGGCGATGTGAGGAGGGATTGAGCGGTGGAACGCGGTGTCGAAAAATGCGATAGACTTGGAGTTCGGTAGCTCAGATAGGCATGTCTTGATGAGGGCCAGCGACGCGCCGTTGTGCCTGGGAAAGTTGAATGACGAAGCCGAAGTGCGAACAAACCCTACTCACAACGGTGCGAGATCAGAGAGGCGCTCGATATGGGTGTAAGCTTCGTCATTGATGACGATTGGATCCGTGTAGTCCCCGCCGTGCACAACTCGATGGCAAACGTGTCCTATCTGCGTGCGCTCGACGTGGGCCTGCTTCAAGCAGTCTAGAAAGTAAGAAAACGCAGAGGCGTGGTCCTTGATCGATGGTGGCTCCTCGTCCTTATTGGAAGCGGACTCGTTTCGAACCTTGAACGAGAATTTCGCGGGGGGCGAGGAGATATTCGAGATGGAGGACGTCAGTATCAGGTCTATCGGCTCTGAGTCCGAGTCGTCTTTGACCGAGGATTCAGCGCGGTAAAGCGATATCTTCAGAGACGAAGAACCAGCATTCACAGAAAGTACGAGGTTGTTGCCGCGCAACATGAGAAGTAAAGACAAGTGGCATTATCCAAGACTTTGAGAATAAGTATGGAAGAGAAGTGGAGCGATCCCAAAATATGGAGCGAATGTCATCTTGTGAAGGGATTTCAGGCCTGGACTGGGCTCGACTGTTCTAGTTCTGAGATTAAACCTTCCAGGGTCTTCACCAAGTTGCAGTGGGATCAAAGAGGTGAACAGAGAGAACAAGAGTGATTGGTTGTGGTCGGTCAACGATGGCCCAGACCAGGGGCGACCACAAAAACCCCCCATCAACATCCACCTTCCCCGGGTGGTCGCGAGAATGTGGCGGTGCCGGCTAGCGATTTTATTCACTGTCTTATTTCCGCAGCGAAGAAAGCTCTTGAAAAATTGGGTGGGGTGGGAACAACCCCCCGAACCTGATATGTAAATTTCCTCCACATTTTTGGGCTGAATTCATTTCGACCCGGTGGGGTCATCTCTGCGAGCACCGCCACCACTCCGGGGTGGCAGGTTTTGATGGGAATATCAATGGCCGCCCCTTGGCCCAGACCCTAGACCGGTGACTGATCTCTCGTATGAAGACAATCGTTCATACAGGCGCCTCTCTTCAATGTATTCTTTTAGCTCGCCCACTTGTCACTGAGTCTGGGCTTCGCCAATGGTCTGGATCTGCCGAGTGGGGCCCATTCTGAGCCATTTCTGTCATGACGCATTTTTTTGCACTGGCTATAGTATGCTATAAAAAGAGAGGACCTCAAATGGCGGGGAGAACCACACCTTCCTACTATGCCTGGCCAAATCCTCCTGCAAGCCAACCCTCCGGCTGACCCGTCGCTTTTGCCCGACTCCATGCTCGAGTTCAGCGTCAAGTTGGACACCAAGGATTACCTCTCAAAGGATGAGCTGAACGCTATAAAGATGTTTCGCAGGGCTGCGGATTATATAGCTTCAGGTACAGCGGTGATACATGCTTTCTCCAAGCTCCGCTAACGCGTCCTTGTAGCAATGATATTTTTAAATCACAACGTTCTTCTTGAGCGCGACATAACGCACGATGACATCAAAGCAAGGCTCCTGGGCCACTGGGGGACTTGCCCCGGCCTTATCTGCGTCTATGCGCACCTCAACAGAATTATCGCCAAGACTGGCCTTGATGCCCTGTATGTTGTTGGTCCAGGTCAGCACGGTCGTTTAATCGTTTTTTTGGCCGCTAATCGGCCACAGGCCACGGTGCACCTGGTATATTGTCTTGCTTGTGGCTCGAGGACTCCCTCAGCACCTTTTACCCCCGACACAACTCGTGATTACCAGGGTCTCCACAAACTTATTGCGAGCTTCAGTGTCCCCGGAGGCTTTCCCAGGTCAGAACGTACCACTCCTTAATTCCGCATTCATTTAACACATTCTAGTCATATCAACGCTGGCACACCTGGTGCCATCCACGAAGGTGGAGAGCTTGGCTACGCCCTCAGCGTCGCATTTGGCGCAGGCAAGTAAAAAAAAAGCTCTTGAAGGTGTCCCATTAATGAAAATAAATTGCAGTTATGGACAACCCAGATCTAGTTGTCGCTTGCGTTGTCGGCGACGGTGAGGCTGAGACCGGACCCACAGCTACGGCGTGGCACGGCTTCAAATATATCGACCCTGCGGAATCGGGCGCTGTCTTGCCCATTGTACATGTCAACGGCTTCAAGATCTCTGAGCGCACGATATACGGTACCATGGATAACAAAGAAATGACCGCCCTCTTCACGTACGTATTCATTTGCACGTAATTATCCCCCCCCTCACGATTTTCGCAGCGGCTACGGATACCAGGTCCGCATCGTCGAGGAATTGGAAAACCTCGACAACGACCTCGCTGCATCCATGGAGTGGGCCCTCGCCGAGATCAAAAAGATTCAGACAGCCGCCCGCAGCGGCAAGCCCATCGTAAAGCCGAGATGGCCTGTGCTCATTCTCCGCACGCCGAAAGGCCTCGGCGGTCCGAAGGAGTACAACGGCGAGCTCATCGAGGGGTCCTTTCACGCGCATCAGGTCCCCTTACCGGGCGCCAAGACGTCCGCCGGTGAGCTCGCGGCCCTGCAGGCGTGGCTCAAATCATACCGTCCTGAGGAGCTATTCACCGCTGACGGGGTTCCTGTACCGGAGGTGCTTAGCATCATCCCGCAGGTTGCCGAGAAAAAGCTCGGGCAGAAGGCGGAGAGCTACAAGGCGTTCAAGCCAATCGCAGTTCCGGAGTGGACACAGTTCTGCGTCAAACAAGGAGAGCAGGAGAGTTGCATGAAAGCTGTTGGTCGGCTCCTGAAAGTTGTAGTGAAAGAGTGCGTGTCCTGCGACTTCCTCTTCATTTGCGGGTTGCTGAACTTCGTTTTAAGAAACCCAAAATCATTCAGAGTGTTCTCACCTGACGAGCTTGTTAGTAACAAGTTGGACGCGGTGCTGGAGAGCGGTCGCAATTTCCAGTGGGATATCGAATCGCGTGGGAAGGGAGGGCGTGTTGTTGAGATTTTGTCGGAGCATACCTGTCAGGGCATGCTGCAGGGTTACACGCTCACTGGACGGACCGGTATGCCCTTCTCATCGCTCTTCGTTCGTCCTCGTATAACTTTTCACTTAGGTCTCTTCCCGAGTTATGAGGCCTTCCTTGGTTGGTGTTCCGCCTGCACCATGTTTCATCCAAGCTGATATAACCCAGGAATTGTCCACACCATGATGGTGCAATACAGCAAGTTTATGAAAATGGCACGTCTCGCCTTCCTCCTCCGTTTTGCTCCGTGTCTAATTAGATGCCAGGCGGCTGAGATTCCGTGGCGTGCACCCTGTGGGTCGCTCAACTACCTTGAAACGTCCACATGGGCACGGCAAGAGCACAATGGCTTCTCCCATCAGAATCCGTGTGTAACTCGCTGTGCGTGCCCTCGGCTAGTACACTGACGCCCACCAGGTCCTTCATCGGCGCCGTCCTGAATCTCAAGCCCATCTCGGCTCGTGTGTACCTCCCGCCCGATGCCAACTGTTTTTTGTCGACGATAGCGCATTGTCTGAGAGGCGAGTGGATTCATCTTGCCTGCCGAACCTAATCTAACGAGGAAGCCAGCAAATAACTACGTTAATTTGATGGTTGGGAGCAAACAACCCACACCAGTGTGGCTATCGCCTGAGGAAGCAAACCGCGTACGCGTTCCTCTCTCACGCCTTGCTTGCCGCTGATTTCTTTGAGTAGCATTGTGTGGCTGGTGCCTCTGTATGGAAATTCGCCAGTGTGGACGACGGCATCAACCCAGACGTGTACGCGCGCTCCTGCCCGCTGGTTTCCTCCCTTTGACAACCTGCATCCAGTGTTCTTGTCGGAATTGGC